TTTTTTTTTTTTTTTTTTTTTTTTTTTTTGAAATAGACCAACTTATATAAGTGACTGACTGCGGTTTTGATTCATGATTTGCTTTCACACTATTATAGTTTTTCTAATTATGCTTTTGTATTATTTTAGGATGACAGTTTAGAAGAAACTGGCTGGAAATTAGTTCATGGAGATGTTTTCCGCCCACCACCTTGCACAATGCTTTTAGTAAATTTAGTCGGTGCGGGTATACAACTGATTGGTATGGTCATAGTTACTGTATTCTTTGCCATGTTAGGAATGTTATCACCTTCTAGCCGTGGATCACTTATGTCCGCTGCCATTGTCCTTTTCTGTTTAATGGGTCTAATTGCTGGTTACCATGCCGGTCGTCTGTATAGGACATTGAAAGGTTCGTTCTCTTGTCATCATTTCGTGTAACTTTCTTATTCTTTTCACATTTCACTTCGCCAAGAAACTGATTTAATGAGATTGGACAAATAAGAAATAAACTCATTTAGTGTTGTTGAAAACATTTCAAACAAATATATAATTTAGTCGGGTACACTAAAGTTATTTGTACAGTCAGTCTATATTTAATCACTTACGTTAATATAAGAAACTTTAAAAATTTATTATAAATAAATTTTAAATACGTTACTCTCTGTTTGGATAGAAATTAAGTTTTGTCATTGAAATGAGTTGGCATTCATTTTAGAAACTAAGCTGTAGCCACTTTTGAACTAAAAAAAATATTAAATTGCATTATCAAGTAGTGAAAAATACTTTTTTCATCAAAAATGAAGTATCTATTGCCATTCTTACTGTAGGTACGAGACCTCGGAGATGTTCATTTCAAACAGCTGTGCTTTTTCCATCAATCATTCTTGGTAGTGGTTTTTTCCTGAATTTTTTTCTAATTGGGAAGCATTCATCTGGAGCTGTGCCATTTACAACAATGATCGCACTTCTGTTTCTGTGGTTTGGAGTTGATTTACCTCTTGTATTTCTTGGATTTCATTTTGGTTATCGAAAGCAGGCACGTTTGCAATTAATTTCACACAGTTTTGCAGTATGTATGCGATGGAAATTGGTGAATTAGAATAAATTAAGTATCTCTTAAAACTTCACTTTTAACAATTTATAGATAATACTAGCAGTGATTTTTTCAGGCATATCCTCATCCAGTTCGTACGAACCAGATTCCGAGGCAAGTTCCTGACCAGCCTTGGTATTTGCATACTTTACCGTGCATGCTTCTTGCGGGAATTCTTCCTTTTGGGGCCGTTTTCATCGAGCTATTCTTCATATTTTCTGTAAGTATTTAGGCAAGAGATCTGTAGATTATCAGATTTAAATTTTTATAAAAATTGTGTAAGGTAATATACACTGAATGATTTTGTGACTGATGTTAAGCATTCTCATCCATTACGTGTCTTCGCAATCACTTTGCCTAACACGTTGGGTTAGTATGAAATATTTACTTTTGAGGGTAACTCGAAAGATCTTATAATGTTTTTAATATTATAATAACTCTAAAAATGTTACAATCTTCAAAATTAACTCAAATATAGCAACTGTAATACTGTTTTGTTATTATTGATAACTAAATTTTGTACAACTGTTCCGGCTTATATTTTTCACAGGCAATTTGGGAAAATCAGTTCTATTATCTCTTCGGATTTCTATTCATCGTTTGCATAATTCTCTTCATTTCATGTGCGCAAATTTCTATTGCTGTAGCATACTTCCTCCTTTGTGCTGAGGTTTGAAATTCCTTTTTCTACGTTAAGTGGTTTTTCACAATAGCTTTTTGTTGCAATTAACTTGAAATATCTGCTGTTACATTACAGAACTATCACTGGTGGTGGAAATCGTTCGTTATTAGTGGAGGATCTGCAGTCTATGGTTTGTTAATTATTTGCAGAACTAAATTGTAAAGAGCTTCATTTATCCATTTTTAGGCTTTTAAGCACAGTAAAAAAAGTTACGCTGAACTTCTAAAATACTTTTCAACTTATTCTATTCAAGTGAATTGTTACAAGAATAGTGCAGTTTTATTTTGAAATATTTTTCAGTTATGGGATATGCAGTATTTTATTATTTCACCAAAGTAAGTTATGATTTATTTTTTCTATCAGAATCTTCCAAGTTTATTCGGAATTCATATATTAATGTTAATTCCATCTCAAGATCTTTGCTTTTAAATTTTCAATGCAGAAGACTGAACGAAAACTAGCATGTTGTATTGTGAGTGGTTTTCATATTTAATATGGAAGGTTTTTTTTTCTAAATCGAAACTCCGAAAATCAGCGTTTAATATCTGCACTTGCGTCCCTCCAAATTTAATTTCCCGGTTGTTTAAATTTGACAAATTTATTAAAAATTTGAGACTTTAATCAGACAGTCATTGGTTGATAGTTAGGATGTATTAAACTATAAATGCATACATTAATACGACTAAGTAGTATTAATATATTGAACAAACGATTACACATTTCACATTTCATTGGAATCTCATTTTTATCAAAAGTTTTTACGCTTTCTCATCTTTATATTTACCTTCAGTCAATCAGGAATCTTAGTTTAATACATTGAATTTTCTATAATTTATAACTTTTGAGATATCACTCAATTTTCAGCTTGAAATAATCGGTTTCATTCCGACACTTCTGTACTTCAGCTACAGTTTTCTGATGGCATTAACATTTTGGATTTTAACTGGCACAATAGGTTTCTATGCAGCATATTCATTTATTTGTCGGATCTATGCGGCTGTTAAAATTGATTAGTCTTAGTTATGCTACATTTTTACTAAATTTCCATTGTCTGAGACTATTAAGCTTGAATTTTTAAACTGTTATATTGTATTTGTTTGGTATACCCTTAAATGGGAGGGAAGATTTATTTCAAACTTCAGACTATGACGTGGTTAATATCAGGTTTTGGTACTTCAGTAAAATAGCGAGAGAACAGTTACGAAATTTTCTAAAAACCCTTCGTGATGAATTCTGGTGATCAAAAGTACTTAACTGAGATCTATAGTGAATGAGTATCATTTTAAATGCATAGTTGCTAATCGCGCTAAGTTAGCTTGGGCAGCACCGATAACTTTCGCTATTAAATGATTTGTAGTGGTTAATTTTCTTGCAAGAGAAAAATGAAGTGGATTGTTTTGTTAGTAGGTACTAAGTGGTGGTTGCACGGATATATTGATTTATCCGTGGTCAATAATTTGCGGTCAGGAAAATTTGTTTGGGCATTTTTTATGCATAATCATGCTATTAATTTCCAAAAAAATCACCCTTCTTTGTGTATTCCTTTTTCACATCTTTTTTTCTGGGATATTAGAAGGAAAAGCACTTTGTTGTAATCAGTTTGTAAAAATTGAACATATTATCAGAGTTCTTCTTATAATGATGCATACTGCACATTAAAATTTCCTCTTATTCCAAAGTAGAGTATAGAAATGAGTTGGGTCAACAAACTTCAATCTTTCATTTGCAGGAAAATAAAAAGAAAAAACCTCTAAACAGTTGGAAAAAGACTATATTAAATTAAGAGAATATATTTCCAAATTGGTATCTTTCTGATTTTCAATTTAATTTTATGTGTCTCTTTACTGCTTCTCTATCATATAGAGTCTGGGATTTTCTCTGTTATTTCTTCGTATGTGTATATTAGGATGAGTAGTGTATTTATTTAATTATAATTTCTCTGATGTTGTTGAATATTATTTTGTTGTTGCTTAACTCTTGAAACTGTAGCTTCACTCATCATATCTGGGATATACCTGTTTTTATAGTTTAATAAATTGATGGATCATTTTTTGGTTACTACTTTTTAATTGTAAAACATATAAGTGCTTGTTGTGCGTAACACATAGATGAATATTTTAGTGTAGTTATCTTTATGAAATGTTTATAGAGGACTTTTTACTACTGTATTTATAGACTAAGTACACGGTTTTACGTTAAGCAAAATCGTTTTCTGACCAGGATGTTATCTATTATTGTCGTCATCTCTTATTTTGTTTGAGTTGCGGTTAGTTATTTTTAATTATCTTTTATATTGTTTTCAATTTTGCGTTGGATTGAATGTGAATCTCTTTTTTAATGCTGATACTTCTATTTATTCATTTTTTATTTCATATGGTAATGTTACTTGATTTTTGTTGTCATAATTTTCGAACAGTCATTTTAACGTCTAAAAAATATTCAATTAAGAGATGTTGGTGATGCCAAAAAAACGTGGATATTGTTACTTGTAAATGGGGATCCAAAATACCGGCAGAGACGGCAAGTTTGATATATTTTGGGCTAGATTGTTGTTAATGTTTGGTGGACCGTTGGGACTTCATCTTGTTTATTTGCGTGAACCTCTTGAAGCCTACATGTACTTCGCAACGTTCGGTTTCTGTTTTATTGCTGTATTCTGTGATACATGGACGTTAAGTTATCGAGTAACTGCAAAAAACAAGAATAACATGTAGGGTTTTAATGCGCTTTTCAGAGTATATATTCGAAACTAATGTATTTTTCTGTTTCCTAGCTCGTCCTCTGAAGTGGGGTACCTGAGGTTTTGTTGGTCGTGTTACAAAAAGAATTTTGGGGGAATTTCATTTGCTTGTTTTTATCGGATTCAGTGGTCAAACTCTTCTTACTAAATTAATCATCTTCAGCTTTTTGCGGCTTGCCTATATACTTCATTATTTTAGATTTATTGATATTAAATGAAAGCAATTCAGTAGGCAAACACCAGAGAAGTTTAATTTATTACTCGTGGTTCATAAGTTTTAAAATGTTTAGGAAAAATGTCAACAATGATCGAGTTGTTAAGGTCGTAGCCAGTTCAATCATTCGATTTGTTGCACAGTTCCTGTTCGGATGTTGGATTGGATCTTTATTTAGTTTGGTCACAATTTTACTGGTGGGCTCAGAGAGTCGCGGTGTATTAGCATTATTTATAGCTGTTGGTGTAACGAAAGGTCGCAAAATTTTTTTACTTTTATGGATTTCTAACTAAATTATTTCGTGAATTTGCTTCTTCAATTATATTTTCTTTGATCTCAGATCTTTGCTGCTGTAGTGAAATATCAGATTTGGATTCAAGAGTTATTATGCGTATTCACGAAGAATTTTCCTGTAATAGAATATTCTTTTATGAGATCTCACATTTATTGTCATACTTCTCATTTATTTAAAACTTTAAAAATGTAACTCAAATAAGATTTCATTAATTCCATTCACATAATGTATGAAAACATTAATGACTTCACTTAAATATTTTCAGGTGTTTTCGTTGTTGGAAATTGTCGAGGACAACAACGTAGTCTAATATATATAGCGATTTCGGCAGCTACTTCTTCCCACATAACCGTGAGAATTTTATAGTTGTGATATTTCATGAATATATCACGGAAATTTTTGTATATTGTAGGCAGTTATATGTTCGATAGTCGCTTTTTGGAGTTTTTTGCATTTCCAGTTTGTTTCTGAAATTTTATAATATCGATATCTTTCATATGGCTTCCAAATAATTTTTAATTATTTATTGAGTGTAGAGTTTGAAGTATGATTATTACATACTCTTTTTTTACTTTATTTCGTTCCCGAATACGATTATGCAGTCTATTTTCTTCTACTTATTTGCTCAGAGTCTTTAATTTATTAGCTATAAATTTATTGTTTACCAATCTCCATGAAAATAAAAAATATAATTGAAGAACTTGAAGAATTTCACTTTTTCGTTCAATCATGTCTTTGCAGGTTCTGCTTTTGAATTTTTCATTATTTCGCTCGATTTTCTTTACTTCGATTTCGGCGACATTCGTGGGCAACCGAAGTGCAAAGTTCCGGAATGTGCAGAAGTTTTCAAGCATGTCGTACTTTGTGTGTTTCTTTCAAAAACATTTTATCTCTTACAAACTTTTTAATTTCAGTGGCAGTTTTTCTCATATCGTATCTTTAATTTGTCCTTCACTTTCTTTTCCATAATGCTACATCTTTATCATTTTGTACCCTTTTTTGAAATTTATCATCATTTTAAATACTAACAGCTCATCATTTCCGAAAATTTTTGACTCACTTAATTTATTTTCTTGATATTTCTGTAAAATATTTAGTCATCAGTAAGATAATTAGGCAGTACAAATGACTAATAAATTATGGTTATTGATAGAGCTACATTTTGCTGCTTTTTTATTCAAATATTTTTTCTATATAAAGCAGTAAAAATTTCTCAGCCTCTCCATTTTTGGAATATTTACCAGTTCAGCTCATAATTTCAGATTCTCTCTTTAATTCATTCCTTTATCATGGCAATTATAATAACTGGCTTGGTTCGAGGTGTGCTTGATCGACGAATCTCGGTCATTTCAGAGAATACTTATTCTCGGGTGACCGCGTCTCTTGGTTCAGCTATTCGAGATAAATACTTTCTTTCTCCTAGTAGAGATATTTTCTCAAACACTGTCTACATTGAATATCTGCCACCACAGCGAATGGCGGTATATTTATTTCACTTTAATTTCTGCTTGAATTAAGTTATCTTTTGATGCAACAGTCCAATTTTCACATTGTAATCATTATTGTTCTTGTTTTTACCGAAACAGGATGTTGCGTTTTATATTTAAAATTCAGAACTTAAGGTGACCAACAACTACTGGTTTTCACTAGCAATTCATCAGAAAAGTTGGGATGAATTGAGTTTTTTCGACTATTTAGCTGTATTAATTGTCGATTTCATGCGATATAGTTCTAAGCTACAAAAGAAGGATGATAATCAAACATCCAAAGCGTTGCAGATGGCTCTTAGGAGAATGTTTATTCTGCAGGTTTGTTGTGTAATAGTTTTGTGTGATGTGAACGTTTTTCAAAATGTTTTATAAGTTGAGTAGATATCGAGCTGCAATCGCTATAAATAGATATCCTGTGTATGTTGCGATTTTATGGAATGGTTGCTTTTTGATGTTTGATCAGTGTTAGAATTATTAGCACTGTATTTCCTCAATATTTCAACTTTTTTTTAAACCTCATTCCATTACGAAATTTGAACTCTAAAAATTTATCATTTTTTTACTTAAAAAAATTTGTTTGTTATAGCATTTTGAGCACTCATTACCCATGTGTCCTCATTTTCATTTTTTTTGTTACGTTGAAGAATTTTGTTAGTGTTCATAACTGAAATAAGGCCTTGATTCAAGTTGTCATATATCGCATTACTTATCAAATTGTATCATCTGCATATTCATTTTGTCTGTAAATTTTAATTTTCTTTCTGAAATAACCTGCTCTTGTTCATATTTTCTTCTTGGTAATCAAAAAGAAATTAAGGATCAAGTGTTGTTTTTCTCGAAATTCATAAAGTATACATTTTAATTGCATCTTTCCCTTCACATTAGATTTACGAAGTGATTTTACTGAAAACCTCTTCAGCGCCCTTGATTTATTTTATTATTATTTATTTATCTTGCTTAATGAGTTTCTTCCATCTTCAATCGTGTTCTTTTTTATTCTTATTATGCTTGTAAGAGTTTTCTAAGCCTACAGCACTTACTAATTACCTTGTTTTCGACTATTTCACCGTAATATTTTCAGTTTTTCGATGTCTCACCATTTGCATCCGATGAGGAAGTTGGGAAGAAATGTTCTAAATATATAACAAAAGGAAAAATAGTTGAGGGAGCAGCGGACAGCACTATTGGTTGGCAGTATAGAACAGTCAAAAAAAGTTGCGAACTGATTGCATCTTGGCAGTCAAGTAAAATTATTAAGGTTAGTCACGGTTTTTTTCACAATTTGACTGGTAATTTAAGCTGTTGGACGAATTTAGTGTGTAAGCTCAGTTCTTTTTTTCTAATTCTTTTGGTAGTTTCTGTTCGTCACATTGTTTTTATCGTAATTATTTTGCATCATCGCTAGTAACCGTGCTTATTTCACAGTTGAATTCATCATACACTTTATAGTTTTGATAATTCGTCGTTGTTTCGGTGTGATTTGATTGTGCTCGTATTATCCATTCAGTATTATCCATTCATTCCTCGATTACTCTGTGTTCTCGTCACACTGTCATTATTTGCTGGGCTGGTTGCGGGTTTTGCGTTATCACTTCTCTTTTTGCTATAGTTCATTTTCAAATTCGAGGACTTTTTCTCTCCGCGAATTCAGTTATCTTTTCCATGTTGTCAAGGATATTATTTCGGTCGTCCGTCACTCACACTTCACTTCAGTTCGGTATGTTTTGCCTTTTAATTATTATATTTTGAAATTGCCAATTTTTGTTGCAATTCCTAAATTAATAATGACTTTCGCTCTGCTTTGTTGAATTAATTCCTTATTCGTCTAGAAACAGTGAATCGTGTCTCTAAGTGTATTAAGGAATACTTTAATTCTTTACAGTTTATCGAGGTCCATTGAAATAACTCAAGAAACTATTTTATTTTCCGTTTATTTAGTATGAAATTCTATTTTAAATATTCGCAAAAGTTGCAACTTTTTGCTATTTATCTTTTCCTTGTTTCTTTAGTGGTTTTTTGATTCATCTATTGAGGTTCGGGGAGAACAGTTAAACTATTTATATTACTTGGTTTCCTGTTTACTTCGATTTGCATTATATCCAATATTTCTTTGTCCTTTCACCTTATAATGACTGGTTTTTAAATGATATTTGATAATACTATTTGTCTAAACTTTCAAAATTTTGGTGACCATGTGCATGAATGTAATGCTTCAGGTGGTATATATTTAAATAAATTGTGTAATGGATTGTAAATAAAACGACTGAAGTAATTCAGAAAACTAAGTAGTTGATATTCTAAAATGGTTATGCTTATGTGAATGTAAGATCTTTAGCGCGCGAAACAGACGAAGATGTAATTGTTAACATCTGGAAATTTAAGTAATAATTGCGAGTTAGATACTTGCGGTATTTAAAGAACATAGTACAGTGAATATTAAGGAGTAAAATTATATAAGACTTATTTTGATGGTTAAGAATTTTATTCGCTATTGTTGTTTGAAAAGGCTACGCAGTCAGCTTTTTTTGACTTCACAAATGAAACTTTTGCAATATGTTGGTTTTTGATGAAATGCATATTGTACTTAACAAAACGTAGTGCGAATTCAAGTTGTATCGTGTGAGGTTGCAAAGAAAAATTATGAGCTGGCATTCGAGGTTTGTGATAATAATGGTAGTATTGGCGATAGTAAGGAAAAAATCATTTCCTTGTCCATTCACCACGGTACGTGATTGTGGAGTGCTTTAAGCAGTCTGTTAAGCTTGGAGGAAGGTGAGGTAATTCAGTGTATAGAATGAAATGCTGGTGGAAACTATGAATGAACAGATGGATAGATGCGCTGAAATGAATGGTTAGTTAGTCTGATTTAGTAGTTGTTCGATTTGATAAATACGTATAGATAGGGTGATGAATAGTTAGTTACGTGTTTCGCTTCTATCACGGTAATGAATCACTTTGGGAGGAAGTTTGATTTTTTCTCTAGTATCATCGCCCTTGTATTTATTTCTCTTTCGCTTCTCCTACCATGAATTTAGTTTTGTGCAAGAATAGCAACTCGCTTATTTCTATCGCTTTCTCCCTTCATCAAAGTTTAATTTGTTCTCTCTGCTACTGCCATAAAATAAATGTCAATTGAATCTGCAAAGCATTGCTCGCAACAATGTAATTGATGCTTTTTATTCGGCCTAATTTTTTGTAGCGCAGCAAATGGTTCGCCGACTCAGGGACAAGCTAATTCAAATTAAATTAGATAACGATTGAAAGTGTAGTGAAAAAGGTTAAGGCATTCGGGTCCAGCACTTAATTATTTCTCTTATCAATTGCTACTTGGAGAAGCTGTAATTACTTGAAAAGTAACGTCACTGCTTGTTCTTTATGTTAGCACTTTATCGGCATTAAGTATCCATATAAGCTATTGTGAATTTGTTTATGAGAAAAGTTGAGGCCACCCAATCCTTGACATTCAGTATACTTTGGTAATGAAAACGAATCTTTTTAGGAAGTACCTAGCAAATATAAGGGTAATAAATTTTGCGTGAAAATAGTTTAAAGTATACTATTTGTATTAGTTTTTTACTTAGTACCAGTTTTTCTTGTTTTCAGTACTGCTGCAGAGTGCACTAGATGACTTTTCAGGTTATTTCTTGTAATTTTAGTAAAATAGTGACTTCTCTTACTCGGATAGTAAAGTTTATGTTATCTCTGACACATATTGATCTCAGTCAAGTAATCAGTTCTTGATCTACTTATGTTTGCAAGCGTTTATATCATGCTCTATGGGAGTATATTGATTTAAGAATATTATTTAGTTCAATTATCTAATGTAGGTCGTGTACTTATGTGTATATGTATGCAATTAACAAATTTAGTGCCGCACAATACAGATTTTAGTTACTACTACAATTTTTAATGAATATACATGAAAGATGCAGTATTTATCCAGACAGTTATTTTTAAGTATTACACAGATGGAAGTTTTGATTTTTATGTATTTTAATTCTGCCCATGTCGGAATCATATACTGTTTATAATTTACCTTTGTTTTATTAGTAAGTGCAAGTGAGTTCAAAATTAGTTTTTTCTACTATTTGCAAAATTTTCTGGTAACATTTTATTTATTTATTTTCACTGAAAACTTGTAGACTTCGTTTACTTCCTTCGTAGTAAACTTTTGATGTTATTTCAAGTACGTTTTTCAATCATCTTTTCAACTCCTGAAAGAAAAACGATGCAAATATCGCTCTATTTAGATTGCAATGAAAAGTATAAATATTTAATCACATTTGTGAATACACTGATTTCATTTCAGTCTTGATTGTCGGCATATTAAAATGAATAATTTCTCTTGAAACTTGCTGGATATCACTAACTTGAGCTCATCGATTTTTGTATATATCTAAAGAAAAAAGTCTGTAGTTTAAGAGAAAAAAGCTGTTTTGGAGTACAGTAATGGGATATTTGTTTGTTTATACTCTAAAGATGAATATGCTACTGACAACTAAGTTAGTCTTAAACTTGGTAGTTATGATTAAAATATAGATTTGTTGTGTGAGCAAAAAACATAAAAATTGATAATTTTAGAACTTTATTCCTTTTTGCTTTGATTAGAGGTTTCGTCCTACACCTTTTAATTTTCAAGGGACTTATCAACTTGTGGATATCATATGCTTTTGTCTCTGCATTGGAAAATTTTTATTACTATCATCTTGTTGACACTGTCTGTTGTAGATTGTAATTCTTTAAATTTAGTATTAGTTAGAAGCAAAAAAATGTAACAAGCACTAATTAAATTACTTCATTTCTGTCCATCACTACTACAGGTATTCATTAATTATCAAATATTAAATACCTACTTGATCGTTATCAGTAAGTATTTGATCTTTATAAATTTAATCTGTGATCAGAATGTTACGTTTACACACTTTATTAAAATGATTGCTTTATTCTCAGAGACTGTTATATACTTATTCTTTAGTCTACAAAATTTTTCGCCTCTTCTTATTCACATTTGTTTTTAGTAATTTCTCAAGCATCGTTTTTATTTTTATCTATGAAGTTTTTATGTGGATTTTTACCACTGCTTAAAGAGGGAAGGCCTATCATTTAATGTGGATATGAATTTTATTACTGGGATCAATAGAATTACTAAGTGCCTTCTGTTTGATTTTATCAGCTGTTATTGAGGATGAAATAAGGTGGAAAGGGTTACTTTTTTTCTAATTTGTGATTATTACTGCGGTGAAAGACTAGGAGTCTCTTTTCTGGGAATGATTATTTGGAACTGTATCTTAAGAATAAATAGTTACGTTTCAACTTTACTTTGATGAGGTGATAAGTTGTGATGATGAGGAAGAAGGGGTTGGAAATGAATAATTTCCGTATCTACAAATATTCACTTGGTTTTTTTCGTTTGTCCTAGATATCCAAGCTGTCATTGGAGGAATGACACAAATAATAGCTCGACATCTGTTTATTTATGTTTCTGATTTTTTCGTGCTGCGTTTATGAGCATTCTCGTTACACCCTGCATTATGTAAGTTCTATAATGTGAACATAGAATTAGGAAGCATTGTAAAGAGTTGAAAGTGCACGCTTTTTTTGTTCCTTTTCCTTTTTGTTAACTGAAAAGAGGTGTTGACAGAAGTTCTCAACTGACTCATCGCTTTCTCATTGCTTAATCGTTTTTTGAGTTAAACTGAAATGAATAGATGGTTGGTTGGCTCACTTGAAGGTTAGAACAAATAAAATAAGCATTTGCAGTTCATTCTCCTTGGAATGGCTTTGATTGCAGGCATCGTCTCAAAGACATGTTTATATGGAGTTTTGGATTCACATGAGTAGGCAGAGATGTTCGCACGAAAAAGTATTCAAATCTATAAATAAAAAGATCACTGAAATAGATTGAAATGAGGCTGGTATGAACTTCACTGGTTCATTTGCCCATTGTTGTTAATATATTCGTCTGTTTGTACATAGATAATATATGCACTGCTTTTCTCTTGTACTCATTCATTCAATTAAAATTTTGGTTTTAGAACGCTTTCTCTCACATATAAAACGCTTGTTCTTTCTTCCGCCTAGATGTTATTATTTCTCATCATTCCACTGTATTCCTTTTCATGCAGAAGGAGAACATAAAAGAACTTTTATATGTGTATTATATTTTTTTATACTAGCGTTATCTAATTTTTTCATTCATTTCAGCGCACATGTAATAGTGAGTAGCCAGAAGTTTACTTGCAAGATTAAGAGGCGGTTTATTTTTTATAAGTATTAAGTTTATTTGTACCATGAAATGCTGCAGTATTTTTGATAATAAAACTTTTTAAAAGTGAAGCATATAGATTTTATTCTGTGCAGAAAGAGATTTGTCATGACACAGTCTATTTGAACTGGTATATGTAGCTCAAATGTAGAAGTTTCATCTCTAATCTTTCATATAAAAATTTAATGAATTGAATTTTAGTTGTATGAATATTGATTGGCAAGTTCCTTGGATTTTTCCTTGCTTTTCATCTTATACTGTGAATCAGTATCATGCATCAGAGCAGTTGCAAACTGTGATGTGGGAAATGTAGAATGATATTTGGCGGTAGTATTGTTGAGAAAATTACTGTAAGTGACGTACGGAGTTGGATATGACATGCATACTTGTTTGCCACATACCATTGTTTTAGAAGTTTCAAATGCGTAAATGACAACCGATATTAGCGAGGCTTGTTTATCTCATTTCAGGATTTATGAAGAGTTTAAATATTTCAAGTAAACACTGAAAAAATCAAATTGTAAATTAGGTTTTGCATAGTTGGGCAAAGAACAGCAGAGTTGGAGTCAATCTAGCGTGAGTTTGTGAAAAGAAATGCTTTACTTTTGGTTACGTGAGAAAATCTTGAACTGTAGACATGTAAGATAACATGTGATACATCTGGTTAAAAAAGACTGTAGGGCAGCACGGTAGTAATGCAGTGGCAGCATTGTATTGTTATTTGTTGATAGGAAGTAGATTCATAAAGGTATAAAAGAAAGATGGAATGAGTACATGTAAATCGTTGTAGACCAGTAACTGATGAAGTTTTGGCTCAGGATGAATAAAAGTGTAGTAGTGCATATACTGTACTGTAGATAGATTGCTGTATGAAGCGACATTGAATGTATGTATGGGTCTCCATTGAAGATTGATGAATGCGCATGCGTGAGTCCGATGGAAGCTGAGATAGCTGTTGTTACTGTAAGGCATAATGAATACTGGTAAAATAAGAAAAGAAAGCAGAAATGTGTTTTAATCTTCATACGGCAGTGGAAATGATGCTATGAAATTAGTTTTACTAACTGAATTCATCTTTATTTTGATTTTGCTAATGTTCAGTTAAAGAACATGGGGATACTTGAGGTTTGCCAGGTATAGTAATCGGTGCAGATGTATGCGTATTCGAAGAAAACATGTGCACAAATAGATATCTATTTGTTAATCACTGCGTTAGAGACAGTGAAATAGATACATCATTTGATATGCGCACATATGCTCCATCAAATAGCTATGGCAGTATAGGTAGTATTTTGAGGAAAGAGGAAATACAGAGATGGTACTACAATAGTCTGCATGTGTTTGCTCATCTGTCTAGTCGCACCCACTGGACATGACAGACTGATATTTTTACAGTCGAATAGGCAAGCAGTCATTATGCGCGCGATGTTTCGTAGACCATGTAAATATTGTTTCCATGTATGCCCTTCCAAGCAGCATCTTAACCAATAGCAGTGTTGTTTGGGAATTTAGCTTTATTATTTGTTGTAAACAACATGTATACTAACCACATTACCTATATATATAGTCTTCTTTTTCGCTCATTGATTCTGGCGCTTGATCGTATTCTGGATCTCTGACTGTACTGTCCCACGTTTAGATTTGTTGCGCTGATCGTTTTCGCTTCGTCCTTATGAAATCCATAACGATTTATCGAAGAAGATGCTTTCGAGAGTCTTCTTAAGAACTATCGATTAGATGTATGGCTCGACGTGGCCTGATATACTGATCTCCTTCGCATAGCGTTTATGAAAGTTTGTTACAATCCCATCTTAAGTCATTACATACGGAATTATTTTGATCCTGCATTTCATCTCTGGCCCAAGTTTATTAGCTAGTGGGTCATATTTGCGTTTTTTCTCGGTCTCGACTTCATCCTGTCCTGGCTTGTGATCCTAATCTCTATCAGGATTACTTCACGTCGCATCTTATCGTATATCATGATATGAAGCTGATCCGCTTTTATTCTAATTGCAGTGCTCAATCACGTATCGACTCTGATCTCAACATGCTCATTCGTGACGACCCCCTGAACAGAATGGCTTCGTACACGCGGGAATGCTTCATGCAGAGTTCCAAATGCAGTATAGGACCTCATTGTGTCTTTTAGTATAGTCATGGTATAACATTTTTTTTGCACTGCGTTGCTAGATGGTCCACCGTCTCCACAGGGTCCTCACAATGTTGACACATAGCTTCTCATCTCCAAACATATTTCTATCATGGAGAAAACAATCGTGCCTCCATCTTGCGTGGTAATTCTTCTGTATAGCCATCTTGATGAATCAACTGTGGACGAGATTTTATTCGTCCGTATCTTGTATAGCTTTGCATGGTGGGTTTTCTTTTGTGTTTCGCTATACAAAAGTGCTTTCTAGGATGCTAATACGTTTTCGACAGTAGAATTTTCTGCGAGGTTGTACCTAGTCTTTAGATAGGGCACAATAATTGCTAAGTGTTATGTTTATATTTGTTACAGAATGCTGTCTCGCTAGTAACTTTAGCAAGTGTAACAAACATGCAAAATTAGGGGCATCATTTGCTGCCACCCGCACATGATGCAAATTGTTAGATATTCATTTAAGTGTGTAGCTATTAAAACCAGTATAAATGTATGCATACTATCGCTAGCTTTCCTCTTATTAGTTAATAGTTAAGTGGGCTATAGTGTTCAGATATTGTGATCAGCTTGAATTTTCAGTGAAGCATAACTATGCGAATATATTGCATTGTTCCAGATTTTTGGTACTAGTTGCCAAAGCTGACATGAATCTGTTGCGTTCATAATTTTAAGATGCCGCTTTCGCATTCGTCATGTGCACCTACCTGCACAGTTTGCACTAGGTCTTGCTGCTGTCGAGCAGCATCCTCTTCGCGTTCTTCTTTTACTCTTAATTGGAGTAGCCGAGCTGGGCTGAAGGTCATCCTTTGCACTACAGGTGCAAAATGCAAAACGACCTTCATCTTGATTCTTATCCTACCCTACTGTCTACTTTCGTTGCTTCTTACTCATCGGCTTCTGCAGTCATTATTATTTACTCGCTTGCGTGCTGCTTTTTCTATCTGTTCTATCCATTTGCAGAACTACTCACTTATCAAACTTCTACCTATTGAATATCAGAAGAGCCAATTTCTAACGTATTTGATTTCTGATTCCACTTTATCTAAGGAATAAAGTTACAAGGTGGAGGATGCTCGTTGCATACATTTATTTCATCACCGCTTGCATTCTCTCCGCAATGCATGACGTGTCCTTTTCCCTCTTTTCTCCTCTTCGTTCTTCCTCCTTTCACTTTGTTTGCTGCCACCATCCTTCCTTTCCACCGATTTGTCTGCGTTATCTTTTTTCACTTTTACGTCCTTTCACAGTCATCACATTTTATTATTATATCATATGCCAATTTAGTTATGCTATTTGTATATATGTGAATGGATGGATATGCGTTTTTCGTATGTGAAAATATTCCACACTGACTTTTGAGTCTGATTGTTGCAGCAGTCATTTCATGGCATATGATATCATGATATAAATAAAATTGTGAATAACTCTTTAACTCTTCAGTTCAGTAAATTCTGTTATTAATCTCTGATCGCGGTGTGATTTCGATATGTAATGCACTGTCTTGCCATGTTGCCAATCTAGCCATGTATCTGCCGTCTGTCGCTTCCAAGTGATGACGATTCATTCATATTATATATTTAAATGATGCCTTACCATAGTTTATATGTCAGCTTTCTGCACCTCACTGCTTTATTTGGGATGAAAATTTTATCGCTAAAATGAATCGAAAGTTAACATCCATCTCGTTTCTGCATCTGTCGTCATCAATTTCAGCAAAGCGTAGCTGACGTGTATTTCTGACGTCTGGCAGAGGAATTTTTACATTTGCAATGGTCGCGAGTTATGTGCTTCCTCAAGAGCCTACTTCAGCACCAGTTGAAGCTACTCTTATCCTACCTTCGTCTTCATCTTCTGTTTTGGCAGACAAAACCAAGCAGCGGCAGCAGGTTAGTTCGTACTTCTTATCCTCCCTTAAAATCAATCTATGCTTACAACATATTTGTACTTTTTCAAAGTAAATTATGTAATCTGTCTTTCTTGAAGTAAGAAATTAATTCATCGCTTAAAATTAAATGTTATAATTTCTTCTGCCAGTTACTCATGTGAATCTTGTCAAGGTTCGCACGTTTAAGAAACGAAATAAATTGCTTTCAGACATGTGTCAATGTCTTTTGCTGTTTACAAATCATTAATTTCCATTGATGCCTCCTATAAATTGCTTTCAAGCTTGCAACTTGTCGATAATGAGAAACACAAGTTAAATTTTTTGTTTACTTGTTTCATCTCGTGGCATGTAGTATAAAGAAATTTCTTTCACTTATAAGGTCTTAGTCTTGCACCCACTGGTGAAGGTATTTAAAGTTTCTCTTGCTTCGTTGGTTGTAAATGAAAATGAATGCAATATTTTTTTTGTCATGTATAATATTAGGTTTTACTTTAAGTAGCAGTAGCTTCTCGAATTTTCATTGAAGCGATTAATTTTGGTTTTATTGCAACATTGTGATGTTCTTACTATGGCAGGAGGTATTCTCCAATATTTTCGAGTATACAGAATTAGGGAAAAATTTGTTGGATAAAAAGAGCTTACATTTCACGTACTTAATTGAGAAGCTGTTACTCTTGTTTGTGACCAGTTAATTTATTGTGTTCCATTTTTGTCATCATGTATTTGATGTATTTCTGCTTTGCTGATTAAAATAGCATAGATTTTGCTGTTTTGCTCCAGCATGAAGTGCAGTAGTTCACTTGTTTCTAATTGGCTGCTATTTCGTGAACGGCTGTCAATAAATCCATAGTGCGAGTTTGCTATCAATATCATTAATTTAGAGGAAATTTTCACATCTGTCATATGTAATGTGGCTTGTTGTACACACTGATTTGGACTCTAGCCTTCCTATCAAACCAAAAAACAAAAAATGAAATGGACAAATGTTTTTTAGGCAGCAGTGCTTGATGCATGGTTGGCAATGCATGGTGATAATCTTTACCCTTGCAGGGAAGAAAAAGAACGCTTGGCAAAGGACATGTCGATGACATATGTTCAGGTTGTTTTTAAATTATGAACTTTGCACTTAATATTTTTTTGTCAGGTAATGGATGGCTTTTTTTTGTCAATACCTAATTATTATTCGTCGTAATTTGTTCAAATAGATTTTATTACAATGTGGTCAATGTGATCAGGTTTATTAATACAATCTAAAAGGTTCTTCTATTATTATATATCGGTTTATTCAGTTCTATTTTATTGCACTGTTTTGTTACGGGTAGGACATATGTACCTCAAAAAAGATTTAAGAGTAGCATAATACGTCAATGAATCAATGGTTTTTGGTAACTTTGGATTTCAACAACAAAAAATTACAATGAAATTAGCACCGGTTGATTATTTTATTCATTTTAGAAATGTAAATTTTGTGTGTAAATGACTCTAAGGGCTTTAAGCTATTGAATTATATTTTTTAATAGGAGAGGTTAGAATTCTCGAGCTGCCTGTGTCATCTAGGTTTTTTGTAAGACATGACATTCTGCTCTTTTGCATCGCTGCAATGGTTAGGAGTGCCAAGTGGCAATAAATTGCGGATACTGAAATATTTTGTTTACAATTCCAGTTTGTATTGACAATTTTTGCTCCGGATTTATAAATATTTACTTCTTTTAAAAGTATTTATTATTCTACTTCTCTTTCAACTCCTGCCCCACCTATTCAGTAATGCAGGATAGCAGTGCTATGGATCGTCTGTACCATTACTTTGTCTTATTTTTATCTTATTTGCATGTCATAATTCATATGTGTCATCGCCATTGCTTATAGCAGTAACGATTGTTACTTTCGCTTTTTCTTTACAGTTGATGTTTTCTATTCTTACCTCGCTATATTCGCTTTCTTTATAATTTGTGCACTGCATTTTTGTATTGTGACAAAGAATTTGAACAGACAAGATCAGCCATGCGCTAATTTCATTGTAATCTCTTGTTGCTAAGATCCGAAGTTAAGTGTTACCAAAGATCATTGGTTCATTGACGTGTTATGCTCTTGAATCTTGCATAGGCATCTATAATTTGTTTGTTTTCACTATCATGAGGAATGCGTGCATGGCCATGCATGTGAATATTGAATGTTGCTAATGCTAAAAGGATACAAGCTATCACATTTGTGATGATTTAATTGCCTAGAATTTGACTTACTGAAAAGGAAAAAGATTTCATTTCACTGTCAAGTTTAATGCTGACTATTCATTCCTCGTGTCGTCTTCTGAAACTCTTCATCATGGTTCATTTAAATCTCTTGCTGCGAATCTGCTTTTATTGCATTCAACAGTAACAATCTATTTAGTCATAATAATATATCCGTTTAGATTTGTCTAGAAAAAAAGTATTGGAGCTATTGGGGTAGGATAAAACTGGATAAATAAATGCAGATATATATTTCTCTCTTAAAAGAAAAAGAAATGTAGATTGAATGCAATGTAGATTGAATAAGTCTATGGAATTTTAATGTTTTCCTCAAGTTTCCTTTCTCATAAGTGTTTAACGAAAGAATAAAAACAATAACAAATAGTATTTTATTTTGTTATTGCATGAATCTGTTTATATGTTATCATTTTACTTTTTGGCACTTTGCAAAGAAGCTTCAGGTGCATAGATAAATTAAAATATATTTTGCTTGTTGGAATACTCTACATTGCTGAATTCGGCTGATGTGTAGGGAGGGAATTTTGATTCTTGTGAAAATTTTTATAGCTTTATCGAAATTTTTTTTCCGAAAAAAGTTACAAAATTCTTACTCTATATAATTTAGTTTCATTCGTGATTAACATATTTAGCTTGCAACGAAATATTTTCAAGTTTTTGATTTATAAAATTGGTTTATGATCTTAACTTAGCTTATTCATAACTTACTTTAATGAGCTTTCTTCGGATGTAATAATATATTTTCCTGTATTCAGAATTTATATAGACTTCATTCCATGGTTTATGAATATGGTAAAAAAATATATATCTGAATTTGTCTTGGAGATATCTGCTAGTGAAGATCAGTGCATGTCACTTATCTATTATTTGATCTTTCTAAGAAAATTAGATGAGAATTGATATTGCTTTTTATTGTTTCAAGATGAATTAGTTTTTGTCAGAAGTGGCATTAGAAATTGGTTGATATGCTTTCATTGTGAAATTAGTATTTGGTACGTAGAATTTTAGGTTAATCGTTGGTTTGCAAATCGACGTCGGAAGCAGACAAAACGTCGAAAGATACAGTCTGAGTCACTCCGATCACTCATGGCATCATCTTCATTTGACATTACTACTGGTACAGTAGGAAAGCCATTAGCTGAATCACAACAAAGAACACTGAATTGGTCATCAGGATCATTATTATCTGGTTAGTATATTAATTTCTGAAATAAGCAGTTTGCAGTTAGTCGTTTCCAGTTATACGTGGAAGCAGTTTGCAATTATTTTGAAATTGATTCTCTTTGATGACCTTTAATGTCACTCGTATTTTCACTCAACCAGTATCCTGTTTTTGAGAATTTATAAATTCGTGTTTAACTGACTTTAAAGACATGAGTTTAACTAATTTTTTGTTCAGTACATAATTCTCAATGTTCCTCCAATGAAGAAGACTTTCATCTTGTTTTTTTTAATCGAGTGAAATCAACTTTTTTAAACTCATTTTTCTGACTACTTCCAGTAAGCCAACACTGTAATAAAGTGATATGAAGCAGTCAATTCTGTATTGTTTTCTGAAGTTCTAACCAACTCTACTAAATGTTTTCCTTTGTTAATTGCCCAAATACAACACGAGAAGGGTTTAGTTTTGAGAATAAAAGCCGTCTATATAGTAGTCAGCTCTGAAATTGTTTTCTCTCTTGTAGTAGTGTATTTTTGTCTATTGTGGCTGCTTATGAAATTGTAGTTGGTACTACTTGTACCAAAAGGCAATTTATTAATGGTTTAATTTCCAGTTTAACGCATATTAGTCATGTTTTACATTTATGTACTTTCACTATAATTTGCATTAGTGACACTGGGAAAAATTCCTGCAATAACTTGTTAATCAAAAAGTTTTTCTCTTTTCCACTGTTTTTAACAAATGTCGAGCAGATTCATCTTAAATAAATGAGATGTAGGAATCTGCATGCATGCGGATCTGCATTCATCTTTATATTCTTTCAAAATAAATGTTTTCTTGAGGGTAGAAAATGAGCTATCGTGAGCAATTTCAAAATTATTGATGGAACTTAGCAAAGTATTTAGATTCTTGAAAGTTGAGCTCCGTATGAATGTTATCGCTTTTGGATGTATGAAGTATTGTTGTAGTGAGTACACACTGTTATGATTCTTATTGGTATACGATCGTCTGTTCGGTATGTTATTTTCATCATATTGCTTTACATTAGAATTGACTTGATAATTTACTATGTCTTAAGACGTCAGATCGAGGTTAGATGCAATAGTGTTGATATGATTACCGGTAATATTTCTCTTAATTTTAAACGAAGATGTGATATTAGCATGTGTGAAAAGAATTTTATTTTAGTCTATGAGATCTAAATTAAATGTACTATATGGACTTACTAGTTGTACTAGCCAGCCACTTTACATATATTTTTAAGTTTGAACAGAATTCAGGAATCTCGTCTCTTTACATTTGTTTCTTAGATCACGCAACTTCTCTCTGACTTTCTGTCATTGGTGCTCTATGTCTCTCGTGTTTCTCTTCTGTTATGCATCTCCAATATTTTGTTTTCCTTTATAAGTTCGTCTCATATTTTCTATCCCAGTTCTATATATATAATTGATGAAGGTAAATCTTTTCCGCCTTACCGATTCTCGCGAGACATTTCGACAACACATTCACATGATTCGCTTGATAAATCGGATGAGCTATATATAATGTATAAGAAGAATAACCTCCGTGTGATATTGATTGATTACATATAAGGCAGTTACTAACCTCTGAGGTCATATGTCTATATAAATACTCCCTCAAAGGTTGTGACTTGAAAATCTGTTGTTAGAAGATTTTCTTGTACGTCTCGTATTTCGAAACTGTTGGATAATTGAATTTGAAAACTTAATTAGAAATTGCTTTCTACTTACCTTCGAATAGTTTGTTCTTATTAAATAGTTGAGCTTGTGTCATTGTTTTTAGTTTTGACTTTTTTTACTTATTTGTAAATTAACGTGACCATCTAGGAAAGATTACTGTGCAAATATAATTAGTGTGAACAGTTTTTTGAAAGAGATCGAGGTTTGCGAGCAGTTTTTTTGAGACTAACCGCTCTTAATAAAAATAGTGCAATTGAATTTTGTTTGCAGAGTATCATTTGAACTGTCATTATGTGATCAGTAGTATTTAATATTTTTTGGTAGATTTTAAGTTGGCATAAAAGTTATAAGCGTAGTTGACTATTCCTTGCTCAAAAAGGCTGTTTGATCATGTGTTAAGTCGTGAATGCAACAAACACACATGCACGACAGCTGTTTCGTTTCTTATTTCCTAAATTTGTTGGCACTTCTAGATTCTTAACATTCAGAGGGAATGACTGACCCTTACTGTGTCAGCAGTTTTTATTCATTTAGTAAGATGTGCATTATTGATGGTTTCTTTCATTGTTAAACAACTTAGATTGCTGGGAGTTAGAGGGAGGCAGTTAAAAAAATAATATTATGCTCGTACTTGAAATTTTTCATTTAATTCAGGATATTTTGAAGTAGTTTTTGAGGTAATGAATTATATGCCGTTTTACATTTCCCTTTTTTGCATTCTCTGCCATGCATGAAACACCTGCTTGTTCCAGTTTTTCACCCACCTCTGAGTTATCATGCTCTGAGTTATGATGCGTGTGGAGAGGGAAGAGAGTGAGGGATAGGATCGATAATACTAAAGAATGGCACAAATTTAACATTAACCTTTGTCCTGTGCTGCTTTGGCGCACAAATGAGGTTAGAATTTTTCGAGCATGCTATAAGTGAGCAGTTTTCAGTTATGAGAGCTTGATACCATTTCAGAGTGGTTCAGTTGTTTTTCTCTTAATCTCAGACGTGTGCTGTTGCTCACGCGTCAACCTGTACCATTTAATTATTTTGCATGGTGGTGAGGAAAAAGATCAGTGCTTGCAAGTTTTTGACCAGTACTGTATAAAGGCTCCAATTATTCCTTCACTATTTACTGTTAAAGTGTCGTTAATTTTCCTGGCAGGAGCAAGAAGCAGTAGCAGCATATTTGCCTTCAAAGTTGACAGTGATGACTTATGACGGAGTAGTAAATGTTTGATAGGAAATGGGTAGTGCTCATCATATATGCTCTTCTCTTCCATACTTGGCATTTTCAAAGTCTCAATAATGATGGATCATTAATTTACTTTTGAAATTGTTTTTAGAAGTTGGATTTGATACAATCCTCGTACCCGTAGTGCAGTTGCTGCTGCTGTTCGTATTTCATCGCTGAAGTTTAGTTCAAGTTCTAAGCGACTGGACATAAAGCGTGCATTCGTTGAGTCAAAGATTGAACTTATGAAGCGTTAATGACTGTAGTCACTTGTTGAACGCTAGAAAAATAGGTGAACTCAATAGGCTAATGAGATTTGAGCTATGAATATGATGAATGTAAAGGATACGAGCTGCTATTGATGCATTTTATGTATGGGTGGGTTTATTGTGTGCTGAATTTCTTTTCGTTTGCAAATACCTATCATTTAGTCGACGAAGGAGATGACAGATGACAAGTGAACTCTGCTCTGAAATTTCGTTTCATTTTTTCATTTAAAAATATAATCTTTTTCTTTTGTATATCATTGCATTTTTGGGTGATTTCCTACAATATATTGGGCATATTAAATTGCGTCTTCTGGATGACGGCAACTCTTTTAAGAATATAAGGAAACTTTGATGGCCTTGGCGATCTTTACTCTCTTTTTCTAACTCTCCAATAATTGCAGCAGTGCTGGTTCATTGTTGTGTTGACGTTCACTTATATAGAGCTATTCGGCATTATGTCAGTTACTCTTATAACCTCGAAGAATTCGTCTGTTTTACTCTATTAATATTTGTACTGTTTTATCTTGACTGATTTTTTGCATTATTATCTGTTGTCTGCGCCTAAATTATTTAGTTTGATTTTGTAGAAGTATTGTTTGACACTTTTTTTTACTGTTTTTGTTTGCTCCATTGTTATAAATCTGATTTGAATAAGAAATATCCATATTTATTTCTCTTTGGTGCTCATAACAGCATATTATCTTCGATTGCATGTCGTTTGCAAGTTGTTCGACTCATCAGTATAACAAGCAAAGAGGAAATTTTATCAGGTATCATTATGTTGCCAACCATGCGAAATCATATCCTACATTCTCTTTGTTTATCACCTTAATCAACACCTGCATACACTGAATAACTTGAATCAGCATAGTTTTTGTAGTAGAAAAAGTTTTATTGGGTTGATTGACATCCATGCTTATGCGTGAAAACACCGATGTTGAACGAGCTTTAGTTACATGTGATTCATCCGTCATCGTAATGAAATGGAGTAAATAACGAGAAGAAAAAATCATACATATGAAACTAGTTATTGAATTTGAGGTAAGATGCATTATTACCTCCAGTTTTTCAAGAGTGCATGGAAGACGATGTGTGAAGGATTCTTGAATGCTGAAAGTTAATAGAAGTAGTGTAGCATGAGAATTATGAAATTGGAATTTGAACTTGTTTGCTAGTTTTGTTATAGAGTGATAATTCAGTATTTGTGCATCAGATGTTGCATATTGTAAGTAAAAATATACATTTGAGGCTGATCCATGAGCGTTGGTTCTCTAAAATAATTGGTTTTTTTTCTTAAAGTGCAAAAAGTAGAAAAAAAGCATGTGAAATTGGGCAGCTAAACTCAACTCTTGCCGCTCTAACCACTTTCATATATTCAATTTTTAAGAATAATATGTGCTTCCCACATGAATTACTGCTTCACTTGCCAAAATTGTGTCCGCACCTTTTTCCAGAATTATTTTATTCATTGAGATAATTGATCGTTTATAGTTCAAGCAGGTGGTTCTACTGGTTGAAAGCTTACTCCTTACTCTTGCTTTCCATTTGCGCAATTCATTCTAATACATCTCGCTGGTGTATATGCTATCAAGATTAAAGATCACATTTAGGAGCAAGCAGCTGTCGGTTTCATCGTATATGTAAAATTATCAAGTCATCCTTTCCCATTTCAAATTTCAGTCAATTCTGTTCGTTCTTTTTTCTGCTGTAATTATGGTTGTTTTTCCATTCACTCTCTCTGTGTTAGAATTCAAATTTGGCTTTGTTCATAGCACATATATTATGTAACATAGTAATATATGTTAGAAATGACCTTTATTCGTATTCATTCATACACATGATTGCCTTTGCATAATAAACATGGTCTAGCGCTAACCATTGTTCTACCGTCTGTCATTCATTAATTTTGTAGGGAAGTTGGGATTCATTACTTGGCCAATTTTACTACATTGTATTTATTCTTTAATTATATTTATTTCGTTATTTAGTGCAATTATTTTTTTGTTTAGATTTGTGCCAAAGCGAGCAAATAAAGAAGCCTAAAATGGTAGTACATGAGACACGCTCAGATTTGTGTAAACCAGATATTGAGACATTAAAAGATGAATTGTGCAGAAATGATCCCTCGAGAGCACAGTTATCTAGCTCTACTTATCAGCAGGCAATATTTATTTGCGATTTTTGGTTTAAATGATACATAGCGTTTACTCACCAAATACAGTGGTGGTGGTGTCAAATGTGGTGTTATTCATGTTTGTGGTATATGGTTAATGAAGTTTTTATCTCTATTTTGGCTCTTTATTGCTGTTGAAGATTTGATACTCCTAGTTAAAAAGTTAACAGAAAAAAATTAGTAACAAACTAGATAAGGTTGAAATAAATTTTGAAAAAAATATTTCTGCTGATGAGAATATAGAATCATACGTATGAACAGATTGTACTGTAATTTCTGTTCTTCGTGTACTTGTAAAATATATTTTAGTTAGAAACACTATAATACATGCCTGATGTCATTTATTCAGGTCCCCGACATGAACCAGTCAGTTGCTTCACTTTCGCCTGTTGATCAGCAACGGCATAGAATACCTCTAACTATTGATAATAAGCAACTTCTAAACCCTCTTGCTTACGCCTCTTCTTCCTTGAGTGCTGTGGCTACTATGGGTAATTTCTCTGCAGCTGTAGCTGCTGCTGCCGCTGTACAGACTGCAAGCCCTTTTCTCCTAGCTGCTGCATTAGGATTGCAGTCGACACAAAATACTTTGTCAGCATTTCCTTGGCTGAGCAATGCTCAATCTTTTACTGCAATGTTACCTTATTTACGACAACTGCAAACCCAGACCCAGGTGCGTACATTTTTTCTCATAGACATCATGTCTTTTGATTCTATGTCAGTACAGTTTTCAAGAATGACAGCATGAACGCCACCAACGTTACAGATCGCATTAGCTCAGCAATTAGCAGTAGCGCAGCAAGCAGCTGCTAACATGCATCAGCAATTGAAAACGGCAAATGCCGCGTCGGCATCACTAGTCACTCAGCCACAATGGTTGTCACCGCCGCCATCCGTCCCACCTCAAATTTCAGTAAGCAAACAAGCCTCTGAGGCAGCTTCTTCACCATCCCCGTTAGCAGGCTTGAAAGTGTCGGCAGTCTCACAGTCAAAGTTTCGTGAGATTAGTTTGAGGCCACGTGTTGTGGAAACGCAACTCCCTTCGTCTCCTTCTGGTTCATCATGTTGCAGTAGTAGTGAAGGGAAACAACGGCGTCAGTTCCTGTTTGATGAAGACATGATGATCGATTCATTAATGGAAGAACGCAAAGATTTGTCAGAAAAAGAAAGCATTGCTGTTGCTGTTTTAGCTGGCATGGCAGCATACGAACGATAAAACTTGTTTTTCTTTTCTGTAATAACTGATGCATTATTGCTGTTGTTGTCATTACCAGTATTTAATAATGGCTCTGCGTGAAAGCCTTTTGCTTTTTGATCTTTTCTTGTCTTGTTTGTACCCCTGAAATAAGCAGTCATTTAACTTGAAATTTATTTTGGAATCAACCACTGCATAGTTCGAAGAGAAATTTTTTGTGATCAGTTTCTTCCTACCCGTTTGTGCGTATTGTAAATAGAAGCAAGACAAGTGATTTATTACTGATACAAAATTGGTGTCCAAGATCAGGTTGCACTATTGCTGTTTCTTTGTTTTCGAATTGTTATTGATTTATCAAGTATTTGTCAAATATATGTTGATCTGCTATAAAGAACGGTTCCATAAAACTTTTCGTATGTGTTCTTGAAATCATCGTTCTTTCCAACGCTTCAGTTTGTTTCCAAACGACTCGCTCGGTTTTAGTTGATCGTATTAAGTGCTTCGCTTTAACAAAATTACTTTTACATGCATATTTGTAGTACGAATGATAGAAGACCAACTCAGTCGATATTTTCCTTTCATTTCGGGTCAGATATTTTTATTTGGTTTTTTGTCTCTGTTAGTCTTATTCAAACTCGTGGTTGTTGAGGTAATAATTCTTAGGAAATATATAATTTTCATCCCATTTTCTGTCGGAAAATGTGCTCGGGGACAATTTTAGGATCGGAAAATGTAATTTCCAGCTATCGAAGAAAGACATCCTGTAACAATCGTATGATAGTACGAGTGGGTGAAATAGAATTTAGTGGAAGACGTGTATTTCAAATCCTCATCTAGAATCTATTGACTTATTTATTTAGTGATGTTGATAGATTGTAGGTGGTATTTGTTTATAACCGAAGTAGTAGTTTTAAACATGCATTACTTGGATGTGAAGATAATGGTGTAGTTTAAAATCGAATGGACCTGGGAGAATTTTTGGGAATTAGAAGTATTACTGTGGAAAATGGTCTGTTGTTCTTTTAATTATTTAATTTTGATACTGTGTCTTCTGTAGTATCATTTTTCAGTGTTTTATTTGTATGTAAAACTTTTTGATCAGACTGATAATTGTTTTGATTTTCATCTACTGTTTGCAGCTATATACGAATGTGAGGGAATATTGATAAATTTTCAAAAGTATTGATATCTCTATATTAAGAAAGTAACATGAAAGGAGCGTCAAATAAGATGAGGTCCTTCTATTTCCCTATTGCTTTGTTTTTTCAGAGAATTTATTATGAGTTCCCGATAATAGTGCACTTCATATGTGAACGAGTTCTATTAAGAAAAGATGGGTTTTTTAAATAATCATGTGGTCGTATTATATTTGTGTGTGGCGAGTCTTTACATCTGTCGTATGTGATATAGTGTGAATAAAGTACTGCATAATATTTGGTGGCCGAAAATGGCGTTTATTTTTGATTAAATATGATTTGTTACGTGGCATTCAACACATTGTGAGTGTGGGATAATAAGGCTTCATTCAGTAATACATTGATCAATGCAAATGATCTCAAGAGCACTTGAAATCCAACAAGATTTGCGTGTATTTCTAGTGGAATGAATGAATACTTTTTTGATGCAAAATTCGATGTGTGGTGCATGTGTTATGAGAGTACAAGTCCGAATGAACTGGTGAAATGATATCAAGCTCATACAATCATTGTGAGATGTACATTGAATCTAATGGGCATGGCGTTCTAGAATCCTTGAGTGTTTGGGATTAAATAGTGCTGTAGTAGAATCAGTATCTATTAAGAGCAAACGTGTACTTTTCGTCCAATTCAATCCTTAATAGTGATTGCGAACTCTTGTTTCCAGTGTGATTAAGACATGTGTATATTTGTCCTTGTATTTTTGAATACATGCACCATATTCCTTGTCTTTATACTATGTGAAACACCATAAACTGATGAGTGTTCCTTTTTAGTTGTCAGTAACAATGGGTACCACAGTACCAGGTGAAGCACCAGAAACTGATGATGATGAAGAGGATAGTATGGGCATGAAAGATAAAATTTTTAGTCAAATGGTTTATGGTGAGCAAAGTGATCATGATTACACAAAGTTTGGTTTTATTTGTTGATGGTAAATTAAGATCGTATTTTTATTATAAATTGTGTATCATTCCAGATAAATCACGAATTTTGGTGGTATACCATTGTTGGTGGCTTTATTACCAATTTCAACATAACGTTTTTGGAAAATTACTTAGTAATATTGCATTAGGGCTGTTAGATTCCAAGGCATTGGTTTCAAAGCTATCGACAATTCTATTTCTAGAAGTTGCATTTTTACTGAAGCTCAGCAAAATTTGTGGTGTTCACATGTTGATGAAAAGTTGCAAGAACGTTGGCGTTTGCTGGGCTGTAATACAATAGAATTTGCTAACCGACAAATGCTCACACCACGCAAATATCTGAAAAATTTAAAGCAGAATATGACCAGTACACAACATGGTTTACAGGTATTTTTTGATTATTCCTTCCGCAATCTATTTATGGTCTGTTGCTCATGAATGTTTTATGCGGAACATCACATGCCAAACCAAGTCCTAATTTTTTTCGACTTTATATGTATAGATGTGCTGGTCATGAGCGATAAGTCGATTTTTTTTGTTTATTTGAGCTTGAGTAGTACTGTGATTGGATTAGTAAAAAGCAGACGTGTCTTTTTCATCTATTTCAATTCTCATCAGCGATTGGAACACTTAATTCCAATGTAATTTAGCCATGTGCGTATTTGTTTTTGTATTCTTGAATACTTAGAGCATATTCCATGTCTCATATCTTTTTTTCCAGAAGCCTGAAAAATATTTCATTAAACGAAAGAATGGTTCTCATTATTTACTTTTCATCCAGTTTAAAGCAGATTGGTGTCTCGATACTTACTGAAATTTTTGATCATGTTATAAGTTTTTCTACTTCACTAAAAATTTTCACTTTTTTCTAACTGATCAGCTAAATCAGCTAAATATTCTTAAAATTTTCTTTTGGAAAAATTTTACCAAAGAAATACCATTTTTATGAGTTTTTAGAATTCCTGTTCTCTTCTGAGTTTTATTTTACTTCATTATTTATTCTTTTATGGACCTCTATCATATTCTCCATGTGGGTTAAAGTTTTACTTCTGAAGAGTTTTCATTTTTCTTAGGGAGTAGTTGATATTCTTCTCAGCAGTAACATTGTCTTTTTCTTTTTTTCATTGTTTTTTTGGATTTTTGGCTTTTTTTTCTTCGTAATATAGTTATCTTCTACTTCACATAATATGAAAATTCAAAAATCGAATATGTAATAATTTCAATAGATTTGATCCGCTTCAAAAAATTATCCTTTTTTACCTACTTTTTCAGGAAATTAAAAGTTAGCTTTTAGAGTATTTCGGCAACTTTCCGTCGAACTGCAGAAAATTTGGGACGTGTTGAATGGAATATATCGTTACTAGAAGAAGGTGTCAGATTAGTATTCGATTTTTCGACTTTCTCGGATAATAGCAGTTCATGCAAACAATAGGTTAAGATATATAATTTTTAAATTGTTGCTTTCTTCTTACGTATTTAGTTTCAAATTATTTCTCATGCGTGGTTTTTGAAGTTGTTTATCATGTTTTCAAAACTAATCCTGTGGTGACTGTGAAAAAGTATTGTAGAAAAGAGATTGGTAATAAAATTGAAAATTTTACTGAATCTTGTTTGCATTTCGGTTGTTAAATTTTACTATGAAATAATCATTTTACCATCGTTAAGTGACAGGCAATTTTATTTCAGGAGCAGTTTCAGTGGACATCATCCATTTCTGTTTTTTTGAATTTGATATCATTACCAGAGGTGGCATTAGTGTCGATAAAGTCATAAAGGGTGCTTGCCGATGGGAGAAGAGTTTGGTATAATATGTAGTTGGGTGCTAAGATTCTTAAAATAAAGTAATGTTTTGTTGGGTATAAATTGCTAGTTACTGGATAAGCTATTTATGTTCTCTATATAATTACGAATGATTACATGATAGATCTTTTTAATAATTAAATTACTTCTTGAATTCTCAAACTTTTTAGTATTTTACACGAATTGGTAGTGTGTATCTAACAAACAAAAGGGTAAGGGTATCATAGAAATGTCATTTCTTGTTGTGGCTAATATAATTAAAATCTCTATGAATTTAAGAATAGCAGTTTATGAAGTTGAAGAAAAACTGTAGTTATAATGTCTATGGTTGTTGAAGAAATTGAAGTAAATAGTAATTAACCATTAAAATCCAAAAGCTTGTATGTTGAATGATTGTGATGTATAAAATTAAACGTTACTTTGGAAATGTATTTGTAAAAACACTATCAGTCATCTCAAACATTGATGTGGACGTTACATCTCAGCCAAAATATGTGCGCAAAAAAGTTTTATTATTAAGTTCCAGATTTATACCAAGAAATAAAGTGAATTTACATGGATATGAAAACGTTTTGTAAAAGTATTTGATTATCAAAAGTGCAGTCGTTGGATGCACTGTAGATGGGAATGTGGTATCTTATAATACTTTGTGACTCTGCTTATTTATGACATTTTCTGATGTACTCGTGAAATTAAAATTTTCAGAATTTTATTTTCTGAGTGTTTCTTGCAAATTGGAATTTTTTGGGTTGTATTATTCCAGTTGTAAAAAGTGGATTTTTGTAGCAAGAAATAATTTTATGCTTGTTGGATTATTGTGTGCTGTTTTCTTTAAGCTTATTGTACTCTTTTTCAAGGGAACTCAAAACAAGAATTCGTCTTAGCTTGTTTCATTCTTTCTGAATGTGCCTGTAGTTTTTTCATCAGCTGAACAGAAACACTTCCACCTTTGATTTCGTTATTTTTTTGCTACGAAGTGTTATTAGTAATAATTTTTATCATAAGCTTCATTATTGCAGCTGCTGCTTATTCAGAGAAATATGCAGGCATTTTAAAACTGTTTTTGTAGAAAATATTCGAGAAAATGGATGCAAATATGTGTGTTTATGTTTTACTTGAGCAATATTTTCCCTAATTTTATGTCATATATCTGTTGTAGTACTCACCTTTCATGGATATCGGTACTTTGTTCATTCTGTTAAGTTTAGAGAATTGTATGGATTCGACATCTTCTGGGACCATTCCATTTATCTAAAAATTGTTCCATACTGGCATATATGCATGTTTTACATCTTCAGTTCCAGTTGCATTTTGATAGTAATAAGTGAATAATTTTTATAGCTATTAAATGAGAGCAAATCTTTTAAAATGAATTTGGTGATCTCGAAAAATCATTTGAATTCAGTGATCACGATAAGTTAGTTGCTTCTAGAATTATTGTTATGCCAAACAACTGACTGTGATCAAAAGCACTTTCGTTCTCTTATTAATTGTATGTTTATGTTTCAGTGGCACTATTCATGCTTATAAGTGATGCTCTGGTATACTTCTACTGGATTGCACATGATTATTCTTCGTTCTTATCATTTGTTACTAACTAATGAGTGAACTTGTATTGTTCATTCTTCATTCTGCTTGCAACTTTTATCTTCCATTTTAAAATTTCCAGTAAATTTTTTACTACTGTAGTAAGAATCAGTCATTTATCTTTTTCTTTTGATATGAAAAAAAATAGTAAAGGTAATGGCGCAATTATTTGATATGCATGTTTTACAATTAATTGAAAAACAAATCATTTTTTTTTTAAATTTTTTTGAATATAGCAAAATACAATGAGGCGGAAGGCATAACATATGTTGCTATTAATGTGCTTTTCCGTGAAAACCGTAACAATGGTTTGGAGCCGTTCGTTAGAAGCGAAACAGCAATGATTAGGCAAGTAGGTGGAGTTAGTCAGTAGAAAAATTTAATATTACGTTGTGAAGATATTTCTATCTGGACCCTACAATACAAATAATTTAATGAGGGATGGAAATATTCTGTTTGTGTAGATTCATTCATAAATTCTGTGGTTATCTGTTGTTTCCAAACTAGTTTGCTTGAAATGGTCAGTAATGATATAAGTTGCTCTTCTTAATTATGAAAACGAAAATTGCTATTCACATTAAAAATATTGGACAAGAAAAGATGTCAGAAGACAAATATTTTTAAGTTTGAAAGTTAGGTGTCAAAAAATAATATTTTCTGTGAAACTTTGAAGTATTTTTTGAAATGACTAATTATCTGCTAGTAACCTGAGCGAAATGTATGCAAAATCTATTATATTATTTTGTTAGCATTATATATTGTGTTAAATGAGAATAGAATGTTTTATAAAAATTGATTGGCTTTTACCAACTGATCAGCTAGATTTTTAGACAGCAGCTATCACAGTCATTTATAAGTTGGTATAGGAAATTGTTGTTTCCATCCACAAGCAGAAAATTTTATGAAAGCGGAAAAATTTTCTGTTAAGCATCGAAATTGAAATCGACCATATAGAAATTAGGTAATGAATTTTTCAGTAGTCATCGAGTTTATCAAATTTGGTGGTAAAAAGTTGTCAGATATATCTAATCTAATTTTATTAATAAGTTGATATTCTAATTTTATTAATAAGTTGATTGACGATGATTTCAATTTGAGAATATACAATAAATTGCCTGTTTCATTGCAGATCAGTAGCTGTTTTCCTTCAAAATTTAAACTGATGATTAATTGTGAAGAAGTGGCTGTTGTAACAATTTCTCAACATCATGCATTTTGTACTCTTAGCTCACTCACCAATCTTCAAATTACTATTAATTAAATAAATAGCAGTAGTCTTTTCAATATTCACTCTATTTGATTGTTTATAAAAGGAAAAAATAATGAGACATCTAAAATTTCGCATAGCATCACTTTTTCTTACATTATACTTCATTATATTATATATATATAATTATTATTATATATATATATATATATAT